AAAGAAAAGAAAAGAAAAGAAAAAACCATCACATTTTTATAAAGGTGGAATATAAGTGGGGCCTGGTCAATTGCACAAACCAAGTTAAGTCACTTTCCCCCTGGAAAAGGTGGGCATATGAGAAGAGACTCCAGGCATTGTATTGAAAGGCCGCAAAATTCTCCTTCTGCCTTATTTACAAGTTTTGGGTCATTTTTCTTAACAATTTAGAGAAAACTGGCACCAAGGTATACATAGAAGTCATTTTCATTACTGTTTAAATAAGCCATTCTTTCCTTCTCTGCTCACCCCTAAAGTGTTTTATTTTTCCTCACTTACAGGGCTCCTCCTAACCACCCCACTGTGCCCCCAAAGCACTCTCTGCCAAGTCCTCCAGTTTTAGCACCTGCTTAGAACAACATGTTTCTTAAATGAGCACAGCTTTTTAACCTCCAAATATTTTGAGCCTGTATGAACTTAAATAGTCTTAATGATACAGAGTTTTTTCTTTCAGGGCTAACAATATATTTGTTCCAAAATCAAAGGTATTGGTGTCCCCAAAACCATAGGAAGGAGATGGCAAGAAATGCAGACCCTACCCTTAACGGCAGCATTCAGTCTGTAGTGACAGGGGTGGGTGAGCCCATTTGCTAATGCATCTAAACCCTGGTTTCTACCCTACAACATCCCATGACAATCTCACCTTGGTCACTAGTCACAGAAACTGGGAGGCAGGCACTCATACCTGCAGCAGCCTCATAATCACTGGTTTAATTATTTCAGAAACTTGAAGAGTGGGATTTGGATTGCATCCTTCAGAGTCTGGCGGGACAAGAAGACAACCAGGAAAATCATGCACCTGAAACTGTGTGGTGGGCAGCTAACTGCTGCCAAATCCAAGGTCTGACCTTGAATGGCAGAGCCCATGTGAAACTTCACTGGCAGCTCCTTCCTGGGCCTCTCAATATCAGGGCCTGTGGGCACAATCAGCCCTGCAGCTGCACATGTACTTCCTGCTTGCTCAGTCCCTCACGGTCCTGTACACTCGTATTACCAGTCCTTGAAAGACTTCACTCATTCATTCATTCATTCATTCATTTCACACATAGGTGTATGTGACTACATGCTATGTACCAGGCATAGGCCAGGTTCTGGGGACACAGCAGGGCCTTCAGACATAGTCCCTGCCCCCATGATCCACACCTTTTCCTCCTATCCATCTCGTTGGGCCTCCTTCCTTCTCTTCTTCCTCTTTCTTCCTGCCATTTGTGCACCTTCAGTCAGCTCCTAAGCACATTCCTGCTTCCATTTAACTCCTCATTTAAAAAGGAAGGCTAAGGGGTTGGTGCCTGTGGCTTAGTGGGCAGGGCACCAGCCCCATATGCTGAGGGTGGCAGGTTCAAACCCAGCCTCAGCCAATCAGCAACAAAAAAATAGCCAGGTTTTGTGGCAGGCACCTATAGTCCCAGCTATTTGGGAGGCTGAGGCGAGAGAATTGCTTATGCCCAAGAGTTGGAGGTTGCTGTGAGCTGTGATGACAGGGCACTGTACCGTGGGTGATAAAGTGAAACTCTGTCTCTACAAAAAAATAATAAATGAATTAAAAGGAAAGCTAAGGACATTACCACTGTCACTGTACTTGTGGCTTTGCTCCCAACCTCTCTTCCCCAAGTCAAGACTATAAAGGTGAGTAGAGGCAGGCCTAAGCCCTAGAGCAGTGGTTCTCAACCTTCCTAATGCTGCAGTCCTTTAATACAGTTCCTGTGGTTTGTAACCCACAGGTTGAAAACCACTGCCCTAGAAGATGGGCAGGTGCAGGGTTTCAACCTCTGACCGCACAGCAAAGGCTTGACCATGACTGACAGCTCCTGCCCTGCTTTAGACAAACTTTTGTTCATAATTCACAGCCCTTTGGGCAGGATATGAAGAGACCAACCTTCTTGTGGAGGTGTGTGGGTGTAACTGGTACACCCTTTGATCCAGCTCTTCCACAATCTATCCTACACACGTAGCCCAATGGGTAAAGATGTGTATTCAAGGATGTTTGTTGCAGTGTTGTTTAAAATTGTGAAAAATTGGAATTGGCCCATATTCAATATGAATGTAGCTAAATCAATTCTACTACAGAATGCTTTGCAGCTCAGTGAGGGAAACCTATGTATGTTAATATGAAAAGATGAAATAAAAGGAAAAAAGAGAGGATGATCTTGTTGCTATAGTCAACACACAGAACTGGTGATTATGGTTACCTCTGATGGTGGAATTGGGGAGTGGAGAAGTGGGACAGACTTTCAATAGTAAGTCACCCCTACTTCACCAGGCTCATGTGCCACAGTCCTTGTGAGCTCTGAGTACTGAGAGGTGGGGACAGACAACAGCATATATGGCTTAAGCTGCCACAAACCAAACCTGGACCTACTCCCAAGTGAGCTGCCTTCTCTTTGACTCCTCAGACCACACTGTGCTGAGCACCCAGGACAAGCTTATGGAACAGCTGGCCCTCCTGTGTGCCTCGCACTCCAGAGCCTCTGTCTCTACCCAGGACGTGCCTGCTGACACACTCCAGGACACCAAGGAGCAGAAGGCTGGAAGCAGGTGAAACTTCTTGTAGTCACAGTCCTCTTATCTCTTTAGAACTATCCCATGGTCATGTGGCGTTGATTGAGCCTACTGTGTACACACTTGATCTGCACCTTTTGATTTAATCTCGAGGATCTGGCCAGGTGTGATGGCTCATGCCTGTGATCCCAGCACTCTGGGAGGCCAAGGCAGGTGGATTGCTTGAGCTCAGGAATTTGAGACCAGCTTGAGCAAGAGTGAGACCTTGTCTCTACTAAAAATAGAAAACTAGCTGGGCATTGTAGTGCATGCCTGTGGTCCCAGGTACTCGGGAGATTGAGGCAAGATGGATTGCTTGAGCCCAGAATTTTGAGGTTGCTATGAGCTATGACACCGTGGCACTCTAGCCTGGGCAACAGAGTGAGACTCTGTCTCAAAAAAAAAAAAAAAATCTGACCAGGCGAGTGCTCCTTGTAGGAGCTCGTTTTAGAGATGGGGAAACTTAAAGAGGTTCATTCTTCTTGGCCATAAATGGCAGAGCTAGGACTCAACCCCTAAGTATCTACTTTCTCTGGAACCTTGTGGGACTCCTCCCTTTGCTATCTACATGGCCTCCCTGGCCCTCTGGCCACAGTTGATTGGTCCAGCCTTGAACATGTGACCCCAGGTAGGCCCCGGGATTTTCCAATCTTTATGTCTGCCTGGGTGGAAGGGCTGTTGGCAGCCACCTATCCTACCATCTGGGGAAAAGCAAGCTCAGGGGATGGGGCAGAGATGGGACAGGCAACTGGGGTCCCTTGAGGCCCTGCTGGGCCCTCCCCTCCCCACACTTTGGTTGTTCTATCCTTTTTAGGAATCTGAGAACCAGTGAATTCCCCTTTTCACCTGAGCTAGTTGCAGTGGGTTTTGGGGCCTGGCAACCAAAAGTTCCTAGATCCTGATCAAAAAGGCTATACTTGTACTGTTCAATGTGGCAGCCATTAGCCACATGATGAGGCTAGTGTGAGTGGGAAACTGAATATTTTATTCAGTTTTAACTAAATTAAATGTAAACTTCAATAGCCACCTGTGGTAGGTGGCAACCATACTGCACAGCACAGATAATGAGCATTTCAGTTATCATGGAAAGTTCTATTGATCAGCACTGTGTCAAATCTTAAGGGCTGTTTTGACAAAAGAGCAAACCCTTTGAAGTGCTTTCTGATACATAGTGGGCGCTCAGTTGGTGGCAGCCTCAGGCACTGTGATTGAATAGCCCTGCTCTTCTCATCTCAGATGTGATTCCAAGAAGCTGGGCTCCCAGGGTGAGCCAGGTTGGAAACTGGCTGAGGGCATGAGGCACAATATGGAGCCTCCTACCATCTTCATTGATCTGCGGCAGATGGAACCAGCAGCCCACCATTCCCCAGAGAGGTACTGTAGCAAGACCTGTGAATTGAAACCAATAGACTCTCACCAAAGATTATAGAGGAAGGAATTTTATTTGCCAACGGGGAAACTCAGCAGGCCATCAGCCTTAAAGTAATGAGGCCCCCTCCCATCGGCCCTGTCCCTGTCCATTTATTGGACTCACAAATAGACAAAGGAATTACCAAATTATTTCTCATTGGAGGTGTCAAATCATGTGCAAGGGTTCCAGAAGTGGAAGCGAGGAAGTGTTAGTTTCAAGGACCTCGAAAGCTAAGTTTTACAAATTCTTTTTTTTTTTTTTTTT